CGTGTTGCTGGAGTAACTGGATCAGGTGCAGTGTTGGAAGTGTCGTGTATGGGTCGGTTTTGTGCTGGCTCAATGGCTGTTGTCGCACACGCGGCGCGTTTTAGGGCTTTACCTACCGATAATACGAGTTTATTATTGTTTCACGGCTAGTGTATAGTACAGGAATTGGAGACGGACCTGCGAGGTTATGTTTTTCTGCAGACATTTGTAGAGAGGATTTGAGTAGATTACGCAATATAGTCGGGCCCGTTCGTCCGCGCTTGCATCAGCCCAAGTCAGAACATGCACGCACTAACTGTACGATACTCTTATTCTCAATCACGCTCTCGACTATATTTGCTCTCCTCGAAACATTCCAGTGATCCATTGGTGATTTATTTGGTCTTCTCATCCAGGCATCGAGGAGCTAGAGGAGCGATGAGGGTGCCTTCACTAGGATTGAGGAGCCGGGCCATAGGGTCCCCGTTTCCAAGTCGGCACCAGTCACGACGCAATCAAAGAGGTTCGCAACCTCGAAGGTCACGAGGTACTGTCCATTCTACATGTGAAATTGTCGTCAAGGTCATTGTAGGCATCCGAAAAATGTGATTGCGCACCTTAACTTTGCACTCTCGGAGACACACAGCGATGAGATGATGTCCTTCACCCTCCCCTGGACGCTGCCGACTTGCTCCACATCCCCCCGGCCCGTTCGGGATCCCTTCGATATCTCGTCGAGCGTTTCGAATAGCCGGGGTCCGATGAGGCCGAGCGCAGATATGACCACTCCGGTCCATATGAATCTGCAACCCAAATGGTCGTTCGTAAGCGAATACAAGCAATCGGTCATAAACGAACACTTGCCCTGCATGGTGTTAGAGTCATAGGACTCGTCCGAGGGACCTCGTGACAAACGCTTATGCCTCTTGACAACGCTGGACCTCACACAAGCAGCACACGGTGGATGTCTCCAGATGCGAACGACGCGATTAGGTACGCTCACGCTCGGTGGTCATCTCGCGTGCGGAGTGGCCAATAGCGGAACCGACCACACGCTGAGCAAAATAATCAGAGTCGAAGTCCTCGTATTGATAGCAGACGTACCATGCTCGATCTGCGATCGAGAAGTCTACCAGAGATTGGCAAGCAAGAGGAACGTTGGAGTGCTTGCCATGAAGGCGAACGGAGTAGAATGAGAGGTCGTGAAGTGCAGCGTCATTAAGCGAAAGAAGAGCACGGCGAGATGGGATCGGATAAGAATCGCGAAGGAGAATGCTACAAGGCGGCTCATAAGAGAGGCGAATGAACGAGACAGGTTAGCAGAACCCCACAATCGACATGATCCAGCACGCACCACCATCCCGACTTAACCCTTCTCACGAAAACGCTCGCCTGCTGCCCTTCCGTGCTGCGACAGCCGGATACCACACGAACGCCTTTCGGCGGGATGCATGAGCACCTCAAAGCATGATGCACTTCTCCTTCATCATTTTTGACAGCTCAGCGACCTCGGTTTTGCGGCTATGAGCGCAGACGAGCGCATTTCTGCGGCCAGCATGAGAATAATACTGTTCCGCGGGGCCCGGGGGATGCCCACGAGCGCATCGAAGGCTCGCATCATCTTTCTGCCTGCAGTATTCGATACCTGTGCGCGAGAGTAGAGGATAGCGAGCTTTCCGTTGAACGCATGCAACAGAGCAGTTGAGCTAGCGACGCGAGCAGAGCATTTCCTGAGAGTGCCGATGGCGAAGTGGGGAGAAGACTTCGCATTCCACCATATTCATGACTGATCGAATGTCCACAAACAATAAGCTAAGAGTCGCCGAGACGAGGAAGAGAAAAAGCAGGAAGGATGCCTCGTCAAAAGGCTGGACATGGTGGACGAGTGCTAGCGCTTAGCGCTTAGCGCTCAGCGCTCAGTACTAGCACGGGTTGATGCCATCATTGATGTCGACCGTGTAGCAAGTACTCGCGCGTCTGGGCTTTCCTCAGTCAACATCTCCGTCGTTCTCGCTTTCGGACACCATGCGCGTAGTGGAGCTCCGCTTCACGCAACTGCACTAGGTAAGCGATCCACGCCCGCTTGTAATAAATGGCCGATCCATCCAAAACTTTACAACTTTGTTTTTCATTTAGTTACACCATGACTCCGACCGTCGTACACTAGGACTTGCTATTGCCACGACACAATACCGAGTGTCCCGCTTTTTCGACGTGCAGCACGACCATCCAACTCGGGGAGCCCTTCCTGGCTGACGGCTCGAGGGAGGGATCGCTTCGTCTATTTTTACCGCCTAAACGGTGAGCACTGCAAGTGCTCTTCCTATTCCTCGCCTTCACAGGCCACTTGAATCGCAAATCGGCATGAAAGCTGTGCGTCAGCAGTTGCTGTTATCAAGCTTAGCCCGGGCCGTATATACGGACTGACGAGTTAGTGCAAATGCTGTGCGGACATCCTGACAGCTCTGTGTCGCCCACTTGCGGCCTGGCGTCCATCCATTCAACGAAGCTGCGGTGTCGTTACCGCAAGCCATCTACCATAGCCTCAAGCTTCGCTTAAAACCTGATTCTCACTTGCAGGCACTGCACTTGTAGGCAGGCGAAGGCGCGATGTACAGTATCCCCGAGTGCACGCGTTATGTGAGCGATCATGAACGTTCAGCACCTGAAATAGACATCTTTGTCCAGTAGACACTTACTTCTAGCGTCACGGATATGGCACGAATGCGGTACATCAGCGAACGCTTCCATTCCAACCCTGGGCTGTGACTATGGGAATGACAGGGCGCAGCTCCTAGGTGTTCGAGGACCAGGACGTCCTTGCGTCTTGCGTCTGCATCTTTCAACCCTGTGTACGTGCGTCCTACGCATACTGGGGTACTGCTAGAGAGCTTCATTCTGTGGCATAGCCTCAGCGGCAAGGACGGGCAGGCAACGTCATGGCCGCACTCGTGGTGTCTGCGCCAGTGCAGCAATGTGGTCCACTTACGAGTCTTTACGGTATGTGTGGTCTGATACTGTCAATCTAATATCATACCCTGATGGGAAGTGTACGTGACGAAGCGCGGCGCCCCGAAGCTTCTCCGGCCATCCCCTTTGCCCTCACTCCGTCCCGTAGCAGTGCTCACATATGCGATGTTCGTTGAGGCATGGCATGTCTATGACGCTGTGCAGAACAATGGCCGTTCCAAGAACTGCCGCGAGTTTTGAAGCGGTGCAGCAATGTCCGCAGAGTCTCACGTTTACGAAGAGACTTCTAGCCGGGCGCTGTGTGTGGGAGTTTAGATGAGCCTCGCCGATGTCCATCCATCTGCAAGGCACATACGATCCTGACTCTGTGCGTTGTAATGTGCGTCGGCCATAAGCATGCACCTAGGGACACACATGCTGACTTTGAGACAATGAACTGTCCGCGCTATGCATGTAACGCCTCACCTTTTGCCCGTGCCTGAAGGCGCCCAGGTACACATGATTCTGCTTCATCGGCCGCTAATCATACTGCTGGGCTGTGCATGATCAATGAACAGACTGCGTGCGTACAGCACCTGCAAACAGGACCCTGGTTGAACAGTTGAATGTCTGTGTGATCTTTGCAGAGCAATGCACGTGGTCATATGGGCGTTATGTGGATTTCATGGAAGATATGGTATACAGAACCACAAACCACGTTGCAATGCGATGAGACGGGTACATATATACGTGGATTGCGAGAGCCAGTTTGGAAACTCACACCTATGACCATCCTCCACTCCAGCGCTATGGAATCCATCAAACAGATGCTGAAACGTCTCGCAGACAGGACGAAAAAATGGAGAATTAGCTCACGACGGCTTGTACAAATCGTGAGTGGGAAAGCGCCACGTATGCGTTCTTGACGATTCATGCGCTGCGCTGCATTAGGTCAAGGGTGAGGCGGGCAAATCTGGCTCATCGGCGACGAGACCTCTGCCGCAGCTCCCGATCGAGGTGTGGGAGAACGTGATTGACCATCTGTGGGACAAACAGTGGACTTTGCTGGAGTGCCACCTCGTCTGCCGAGCATGGTACCCTCGCAGTCGCTTCCACTTGCACAGGAGTATCTGGTTCGTGAGTAGCAAGGGTGTGAAGGCATATGCGAAGGCGCTGAATCAGACGCCCGAGCTGTCAGAGCGGGTGCGCAATATGTTCATATTGGGCA